AAGGAAATCTGCGATTCGCTCTTGAGTACACGATTGTTTATTCGCCCGTTGCAATTGACGATTTCCTTCTGTTGGTTGGCTCAAGTGTAATTTAGTAGCTTCCCTTCATTATGCCTTTAAAACTATGTAAGCAAATGTGATTTCATGTATACAAGTCTCTTTCCGGCTTATCTTTGGACTTTGTCTTGCGGTCGTGGGGTGAAGGCGTCAGTGGCGACACAACAGAAAGGAAAAGAAAGATTGTGGCTCACTTTCTAGCAAGGTGCGATCCAACTGCGAGGAGACTTGTTGGCCAAGCTCCCGAGCCACTCTGACTTCGTCTGTGGTAGTCCATAGTTTTTCACATGCATGTGCTTCTTTCTGTTTGTGACTGTGGATGAAAGGGAATGACAGCTTTAATGAGGACTTTAATGCTAAGGTTTGATCAGTCTGGGGTGCGAAAAATCGAACAAATAAAGGCAAGTGGTCAACACCAACAACCTTCACGCTAACACTCAAATGCTCTAAGTTTCGGGCCCACAAGCAGACACAGAGTGAACATCAGCCAGTTGGGAGGAGGCTTTTTGGCATCCATCTATCGCCTCATACTATAATTACGGAGTGTAAGAATTCTTTTGCGTCCGTGTGAAGAGGAGACATATTCAGCGTTCCAAACTCTACACCATTCGCACAAAGGACCGCGATGTTACAACCATAAAGTGTGCCGCCTCCCTATGATGGGTTCTAAGGTTGATACAGCTTCTTCGCTGTATAAGAAATTCCATGCGGATTGGTCCGTATAGGAACTCGCACAGTTACGTTCTTCTGAGATATAAGCGAAAGTTGATTCACTTACCTCGAGAGCATCTGGAATCTGCTCAGAAAACTGAGGTCCACTCAGAATATGCTGCGTGAGAATGGATATTCTGACATATTTATTTCTAGGAAGTTTCAGGAAAATCCTAGAGCAGTACCAATGTCGACAAAGGCAAAGAATGAGCTATTCATACGGCTATCTTCCAAAATGGTCGGAACTACCGAACGTCTTCCAGCCGCAGTTAAGCACACCTTCGCAGCAGCTGCGCCAAACTGCAATTTTCTACGGAACCGCTTGTTCGCTCACGGAACACGGATAAGTTACTGATGCTGGCCGCATCCATGGTTAGTTAATAGTTCAACTGCATCTGTGGGGCAATGTTTATTAGCCGAACAGTGCGGAAATTGTCCAAACGCGTGAATGAGCCCTGCACGTATTGGTTGCGTCAAAGTGGCGCTGGGGTCATTAGCAGTTCCGTTGTGGCCCACACTTTCGACACTGGGCTCAGATGGATCCAAAATTTGCCTTTAAAATTGTGTATAATATTCACATGCACCGATCGAAAGGTCAGTGCCTTCGTGCACTTGCGACGACCGAAGCGATTCTACGTGGCTTTTAGTAACATATGTCACTTCTACTCCGCTCACTTAGTGTTTAAATTTACATCGGTTATAGTAGCTTAGAAGCTAGACTAAGTGAACGTATGTTTTCGATAGTCCATCGTCAAGCTAGTTGGAAGCAAACAGTCGCTGTCAGGTTACAACAATAGATTGTATATTACCACCGGGTCTGAACACATCAGCCGTCTGGTCCAAAGTAATTTCAACCCTCTACGCTGGGTGTCTTCTTAACACACAACGTCAGCCGATACCAATATTCACCTGCGGACGTATTTCGATCGGTTGGTAGTGATGGGGCGTTAAGTCAACCATTCTCACCGGGAGCCATATGGCTATCCTAGGGGCCATAGAGAATTCCAGGGGGCCCTGGGATGTGAAGATTATTTAGGAGGGCCATGGGGCGCCAAAAGGGGCCATGCTGTGAAATGCGGGTTGTGATAACACAGGTAATAAAATTCTCCCCGCATGCTAATCTCCCATGGTAACTACCGGTCAGCGAAATGAATTACGCGCGCGCAAGCGGCTGTTTACATAGGTGCGAATCCAGACCGGGCAGATTTTCCGTTGCAGAGTCGGTAAAGTCCACAAGACTTTGATACAGTGAACCAACCGAACTTTACTCAGGACACTGGGCAAGCTGCAGTGAATCTAGCGAACTCTTGTCAGAACACTGCGGCAGTCACCGCACAGAGTCACAGGGATACTGTGTTTTCTTCAAGACATTACCACTGTGCCGGTCAGCCTTTCTTTCTCGTTCGGGTCTCAGTGCAGTAGAGCTAAGTTGCGCGTTTTTCGTCTCCAGCCTCAGCTCGCGTATACGTCTGGCGGCTAGGTCACGTTGGCTGGCAACGTTCCGAAATCGTGTGGCTACTCTGCGCGCGTGGGTAGTTTTGCAGAACATTCGTTCGTTCCGACTAAGAGTCGAAACAGCTAGAACGCGTTATGATTCTATCTGGAGCTTTTAAATTAGCGAGCAGTTTTGTTAACTTACATCATACATGCGGACATCCGGTTTCTTTGGTGAGTATATAACACGATATGTACATAAGGATACTTCTCTTAATACTCATGATAATCAAATACTTTGCCAGCACGCATTGGGCGTCATGTTTCGGCAATAGCCGATGTGCGTTATTAGTTTCGTTGTTGACTCTCCCGTGCCGGTTTCTTGAACTATCCGGCAATTTCTTCCGTGTTTGTCTCTTCTGTTCTTCAGTTTACCTGTTGTCACTGCTACAACTTTCTTGTACTGCATGTGTCCAGTGGGAAATCTTATTTTTTGAGTTCCACTTGTTTTATTCACTGGCTTTTGTCAAGAAGTTTTCTTCCGTCATTTTAGCTACTCACGGTATTTTCAAAGTCACTCTCAGAAACAAGCTTGAATTGTCTCTAACAGGCTTTCTACACTTTTACATTTTAACCTTGGAGCCACCAAGATAGTGTAGGGAGGTAGGGGGCAGAAAGATCATAAAAACGGGGGCGGACGGAAACGGGAGCAGGCGCAATGAGGAAGGGCAGACAGAGCCACGCTGGCCTGACGGAACGAGATGAGAACGGGTTACGAGCGGCGTCCGGCAGTGAGTCTGAGACAGGCAGGACGGAGAGCGTATTTGTCGAGAATGCAATACACCAGACAAAAGGGCCGTTATGGTAGCCTCCCGGACTGACCACAGAGTGATACATCCACAGCCTAGCAAATCACGAGCTATTGAACGACTCCAGGCCCATCAGAATGGGACGCGTAGACGCGTAGATACGAGGGTGAAAGGAGCAGGGAATATTCCATCACGTGGTCCCGAAAGCGCATGGAGGTGTGGCGGGAGGAAGGCCGGAGAGATAGTGCGTCATGGGAAGGAAACATGGCTCATTAATATACGTCTGCATAAGTAGTCGGATAGCTTGTGACCACGTCAATAAAGCTTGTGCTTCATTGCCGCGTTGTTCTTGCCACAATATGCTACAAGTATGCTTACCAAACGTCCTATCATATAATCTCACGGTCAAGCAAGAATAAATTTAGCACCGCCAATCATCCATACTACCTGCGTGTTTCATCTTGTTCAATGATGTTACTTGGTACCAGTGATAGATGTGTGTAGTAAAAATAAAACAATTGCAATATTATCTTTCATTACAGATTAAAAGTTGCAATGGCACATTTTAGAAGTAGCGGTATTACCAAGTAGAGTACCTGCCAATTGGATGTATCACATCACTTCAAAACTCTACCCATGAGTTTAATTTGCCAAAATACTTTCAAATAAAAGTATGCGACCAAGTAAACTGAAAAATCATTTGGAAAGCGGAATTTCTGTGGATTTTTGCAGAAAGCTGCAGGATAGTTTCGATAACAGAACACCTTTAAAAACAGTGGTTTCTGACAGGGCAAATAATGGCGGATGGAGTTACGGCGTCATATAAGAACAGTAAGCTGATTGACAAAAATTACAGTCCACATAATGTTGGAGAAAATATCTCGCCTGTAGTATCAATAGTACTGTCTGACGTGATGAATACGAATCCATAAGAAATAGTTCAAATCATTCCGCCCAGCAATTCGATTGTATCTAGCAAAACAGACGAGATGGCTCAGGACATAGAAAGTACCTTAGTTGCATTACTATAGCCTAAAAAATTATCCTTACAAGTATATGAATCTACTTTACCTGACAACCACGCTCTTCTCGCAGTAGATGTCCGATTCTTCAATGATGAATTAGTGGAAAAGGTGCTGTTTGAGAAGAGAATTAAAACTCATACAAAAGGCCAGTCTATATTTGAGCTAGTCAATAGATATCTGACTGAAAACTCCATTCCTATACAGAACATAATTACATGTGCAACAGATGGTGGTGCTGCAATGGTCGGAAGATATAAATACTTTACTGCCCATCTGAAAAAAAAATTCACCATGTGATTCATCGAGAACACTTAGTGGCTAAGAACTTGGGAGGGCGCTTAAACGATTCACTGTCAACTGTTATAATAGTTATCAACAATATCAAATCGCCCCCTCCTTAGAATCGTTTTTTCCAGCAGTTGCGTGAGGAGAACAGCGCGGATTTCCAGGTTCTATGTTGCATACAGAAGATACATGGCTCTCCAAGGGCAACTGTCTTCGCTGTTTTGTTGCACTTCGGGACACCATCATCACAGTTATTCTTGGAACTTATTATAAAGAAAACTTTAACAACTAAGCCACATATGTTTTATCTGGCTGACATTTGTGCAAAACCCGTTAATAAATAAAACACTTCAAGACAAGTTGAGTAATCTCATCTCGAGCAAAGAAGCCAGTATCGCTTTTTCTGAAAAGCTGGAAGTGTATGCTCAAAACATCGGACGTCGAGAATTTTCATAGTTCCCAATTCTCGCTACAGTCACAGAGGAGTTGAAGGAGGAAGACTTGCTTGTTCATACCAGTCATTTAAAACAACTCCGAAAAGAAATGAAAGAAATTTTTCATGATCTGATTGACATGGAAATCCCGATTTAGATTTTAGATTCATTTGATGTGTGACGTTAAAGTTAAAATCCAAGAAGTCTCATAGAGCTTCAAAGTGACATACTATAGTTTGCAATCGACTCCATACTTCGACCCGGCGAACGACTGCTTGACGATAGCCACGGGAGCCGACAGAGGCGTCATCTGGTTGCAGTGACTAATGACTGGTCACTGATGGCTAATCCAAAGTGCATAGGTAGTTAGCGACATGTTTTGATACGGATGATTTTGTTATTAAACTTGTTTAGCGACCGATTGATGACCCAATCCTCGTACTAATATTTACCCCCCCCGCAAAAGGCCATTTTACCCCTTTGGGGGTAATTACCCCCAGGTTGGGAACCCCTACTCTACGGGCATGGATGTTCCATAGGTATCTGTAGCCAGATAATCGACAACGCTAGAACTAAATGCCATTAATTATGCTTACGTCCCAATCTATGTGTGTGTGTGTGTGTGTCTGTTGCAGTGTGGATCGATAAGTCCCACTGTCCACTGTACGTCACAAATGATAGCGGTGGAGAAAAACCAAGGGGAAATAACCGCAAAACATGCTAGGCAAAATAACCAATTAGTTGGAGCGGAGTGACGCGGACAGCGATGAACATTGATGTCTAACCACTAAGAGCTAATTGCCAACCAACACTGAGAGTAAGGAGGTCTCAGTGCTACGCGGCCTCGGCGGATTTTTAAGGCCTCGTATCCACTTTAGGTTTCGGGTATTTAACACAACAAACTCGAGGCGGGTTACCTACCTGGTCTCATCACTGGAATGAGGGCGATGTGTGCGACCGAATCTTTAGTGGTCGATTAGTCAAACGAGATTAAACTGTTTATTTTAACAAAGATTCGCATTCCCACATTCCCATAAGTGTCAAAACAAGTAAAGATGAGGAGAGCAAAGTGAAGTTAGTCGAAACTGACCCGCGTGCCCTTGCGTAGTAAACATTTGTCAGGTACTCCCCACTACCGTTGTCAACGCCACCGACAGCACCTTTATTTCGATTACTATTATTATTATTATTAATACTGTTGATATAATTAAGGTAATAAGCAAATCCTGCTAAAGATTAGTCGGAACATATGCAACACCGCATTAGAATTTTTACTGCACTAACAAGAATAGAGGCAATCACTGGAAAAGCAATATCTCCGTAGTTTTCGGCTCGTGCATGCGATAGGCTCGATAGAGTATATTAAATTGTAGAAAATCTTGCGGTGGAGGACGGTATAATCGTCTGCCTTAGAAGAGTGGCGTGCGTACACAGTCATGTAGTGGAGTGTTTTTGATCAAAATAATAGAAAGGTCAATAAAGGTCAAGAAGACTAGTCAGGAATAGGGAGCTGAGACAAATGACCAATCTGATAGTGGACGGCTGAAAACAAGTGCTAAGAGATTGAACGTGCTATGAAACATGAGGTTTCCTAATATTGACATGATATCTACGTTGTGTTCTCTATCATGACGATAACAGAAACCGACGAGCCTCGGTTCCTCCGTCAGTGCATTTAGATTTCTTTCCCATGTCCTCGCTCTGCTACCTTCGGTTTGTCCTTACCAACGGTGTTCTCGAACAGCGCAACGTAGTCCAAAGATGTATGTCTGACGTAGGTATGGCAAATATCCGGTGTAAACTGTACAAGTTCTACAGGTGGCCTTGTTCAGTGCCGGAGAACTTGCGATTAGGCATCCATTCGTCCACTTGGCAATCCCACCCCTATGAGCAATGCTCGTGGTTACTGATGATTCCTCTTTTCCAAAGTTGTACTCTACACCAGGTTTTGTCTGGACGCTAGGAGCCGGAGCTCAATGGACATTTTCACTGCCGTGGTATTATGGAACTTCGTTTGCAGCGCTTGACTCAACAGTTGCCTATCTGTTGTCGGATCCATGGAGTATCACTGTGTCTGCAAGGGGATAGATAAGCTCGAGTGTTTACTGGATTTTAATCGTTTACGTTGGTTAGGCCATGTCCTCTGTATGCTCGTTGACCGGATTCCTCGGCTTGCATACTACGCCGTGGCTGCATCAAGTTGGGTCAAACCGCGAGGTGCCCAGCCCGTAATGTGGTACAGATGCATGAAGAAACTGACTGAGAGACTTGGTCAGGCAGGTGCGTGCCGTATGGATGGGGGCCTCGGGATGGTCCACACCCATGGATAGAGACCGTATCAGATACGGCGCGGTCACGCAGTCAGTGTGGTTTCTATATTCGTTTCCTTACATTGGGTTGTTAATTTGCGTTCCATTTTGATTAGTTTAACGCACTTCCTTCTTGCTTCCATTTCTTCACATTCTATTTGCATTCAACCCCACTATCTTGTCATGGTTATTTATTGCTATTCTCGCGATATGAGTTGTCGCAACTGGATCCAACGCACTTCGATGTTCGGATTATAGTTGTTCCACTAAACTGAACTGAAAATAAACCGTTGTGGTAAGCACTGCTCGCGACTTGGTGAATCAGGTGTGAAAACTTTAATAGGTAGTCTGTACATCGCGGATTTGAGTCGCAATTCTGCTATCTCTACCTGAAGAGTCCAAATGAAGTAGAATCTGGACATTGTGTGGGTGTTGGAAACACCGCAAACACCACTTCCGGTCCGGTCCCGAAGGAGGAAGCGGCCTAGATACAGAATTCGAAGCAAATCGAGGCACAAATTGCGTGTGCGTGTCTCACGCAATACACGCATAGGGTAATCCAAGAGGTAAGAATACTCCACCACTCCCCGTTGTTTTGTGAGTTCTGCCCCACTCACCCCTATTCACCCCGTCCTCTTTTACGGTTCCCCGCATACATTTTCTGTTGCCTCACATTTGTGACTAGCTTGGGTTGACACTGAATCTTATGCTTAATGGCTTTTCCCTTACTCTGTACATTTCGCTCGTTCCTGAGACACCGTATCGATCCTTCGCCCCTGGAATGACTAGCTTTGATTGATCGATTGTCAGCCTTTCTGCATAGCCTGTGTATATGTTCTACTTTGAATCATGTGCTTGGTTTGCACGCACAGATGCTTGGTGGCCGGTTTGGCGTGCGGCGTGTAACATTGTTTTTCTACCCCGTCGTTCGTGTTCTCACTACCGTTAGTGGGTGGAAGCAGTCGCGGTGCTCCGACACAACACAGACCATATGGATGGATGCGTCAGGTCAGCACCAGAGTGCTCGACTCAACAGATGCTAAGCTTAGATTGTAAAAGACGTGTACACTTCCACTGCTAGGGTACTGCACTATAATTTACTGCAACGCACGGTTGTGTGAAGCATTGTCGCTGGAGCGCGCTCAACGCACCTTTACAAAATCGATTCTGGGTTCCAGTCTCCAAGACTCACGTGCCCAAGACGCTGTAGAATGCCAAAACTTGACCCGTTTTGACTCTGAAGGTTTAAAGTTAGCTTGGTAACTCTACAACATGTGACACATCTATGAAGTTGTGTACCAAATTATTCTATTCACTCGCAACACATCTCCCGTTAGGAAATACGAAACGAAGAATTCACCTTGTTAGAAATAAAATTGTGCACTAAAATACGCCCAAAGTTTTTCCTTACTAACAATGTAACCATGTGCAAAAAGCTCCCTTGTTCTTAAGATTCTGTGCATTCCCGTATGGGTTCTGTAATCTTATCAACAATTCCCTCACGATATATAAAGCAGTTGGACTATTCAGACTAAATGTACCAGAAGAAGAGGCCTGTTGGAAAGCGCCAAATGGTATATAATATGCTCGCAAAAGTGATGGACACAACCAGAACCGAGTTAGATGAATAACCCTCGCACTTCTGCTTCTCCTACCGATCTTTTCATTCACTTCTTCATGTTCGTCTTATCTGCCGCCTACAATTACCATTGACCAGAACAAATGCAGGCTCATTGGGACGTAGGACACTACAGCCCTTGTCTTCGTCTCTTGAACACAACTTGGCACTTGCTAATAGACCATCGTAGTACGTAGATGGAATATCTAACATTGGTTAGCACAAACACTGTCACATTGGCAGGTTGGAAATCCCGGCCCAAGTCATCATGCTTTCTAAATCACTTTGACATTCACCATCAAGCTTCTCTTTTATCACACCTTTATGATAATACTGGTTATTTAGCAGCTGGATAAGCTCATTTTCTCTATTCACACCGAAGTGGGAATTACTTATATCTATTTTCCTTTTTTATATTCAGGTTTCTTACCGGTACTGCCTTACCATACCTCATTTACAGTTCAACCGATAGTTATTCTTTTTCTTGGCATGTTAGTCTGTCCATACGGATCGCCTGACGATTTGGCCGGAAATGTTGACGCAGAGATCTGCATCTTTCGGCGGAGCTCGCCCGCAGAATCGTCGCTGGATCTGACAATATGTTTGCTCGAAACGTTTCCATAAACTAGAAGCGGTCCATGCCTTGCCTTACCAAGAAATAAACTATTCATTGTCACTATTGCCAGCGTCTCAATCTTTTTGATATTCAACTTCAGCTATCCCAACAATCCGCTTGTGAACCACATTGAAAAACTAGAGCAACCATCTGTTTATCAGACCCTGCTGTATATACTAATCAGACCAATGATGTGCACTGTGACTCGCGCCGTGGAGAAATATACCGCTAGTCTCTCTATATATTTTAGTTATCATTATGTGCCAGCAACCACACATGACCCAGTGAAAGGAGGCTAGTTGGATAGTGAACCCCATCTTTGTGCAAGTTGACATGTAGCGATGTTCGTGGAAAACGCCTCCCAATGTGCACGGTACATATCATTACAAAGTAAATAAATAAATAAACACATGAATTGTCACTCACCCCACACAAAATGCTTTGTCACATGCTTCACATATGAGCAAAACTGGCTCCCGCTTGTTGCATCCGGGCAGTTGACACTCAGACGTGAATTGGGTGTGTGCTGACAATCGGGGTGGGTTGTGTTCATGCTCGGTGGACGCGCACTCGTGGACGGTTGGGGAGCTGTGGTGTTTGCTGCCCAACAAGGGAGAAATGTGGAATGGGAATGTAGACATTAATATCTTCGACTAAGAGTCTTCAGGAGTTAAAGCGTCGAATAAGCTGGTCGATTTTAGCAAAGCAATGTGTCGAACTCCAAAGGGGAAACCGCTGCGGAGGTGTGCATGGCCACAATGTTGCCGTCTGACCCGGTACCAACTGTGAGGTTCCCACACCTGCTTGAAGCTCCACCGTAATATCCAACCAGGACAGCTCGAAAGTGGGAAGTACAAGATGGCTTCGCCACATGTGAGACAAATGAACAGGTGTTGCAGTAGAAGCACTTCTAATGGCGCAAGAACACTTACAATGCGTGCATAACTCTTTGTGTTGAAATGACCCAACCACAATCACATTGGCAACATCGACGAATGAACACATGAATACGATCTAAAACACTTTGGCAAACGCACCCCCGGGCAGTTCATGACAGTGCGAGACGGGGTTGCTGAAATGCGATTTGGACGGGGGGATTAGAAGTCCAAATACAGTTAAACAGCGCAATTTGTTAACCATAAAGCCACATGATACGCATGAGTCCAAAAAATACGCATGAGTAAAGGCGAGTAACGACGAGTGTCAATCTGGTACCGAAGTCGTTCATAGAATTAACTGAGCAGCGTAGAAAAATAAACGGGAATTATAGTATATAAACTGAGTATGGAATGTTACATTTGGTTGGGGATGTGACAAACTGACTCATCTCATCCATTCATAACGGATAGACTGAAAGGATCCCTTCATTAAGCCTTAAATGACGGATCACCTCATGCACAGCGATTGTAGATCGGTGTTGTACTACAGGTTAAACAAAGGATTTCTTGTAGACGATTACATCAACTCATTAGCGTCTAGTGTCGCTGAGTGGACACATTTCTACTTGGCTAAAAGTGACCTCAGAACCTCGGAACGATGTGTCCGAGATATTTTGTTGAACGTCAGAAAATGGGTAACTCAGTGCTCCCTAATGAAGTGCAATAAGATTCGCCTACAGAACACGAGGAGGAATCGTTTCAGAATTGATGACACATTTTGGTCCGAAAGATACCATATGGCTACTGGTGTAGCAACTAAATCTGCAACCCAGGGCGGTGGTAAAATTTTCATCCTGACTGTGGGAAGAATACGTGCGTGAGGGTAATACAATCGGCTCAGGGTAAAGTTCACATTAGTTTTCCATTAAATAGGTGACTATTTGGGACACGGAGGTAAATGTGCGGAAAGTGAGCACAAGGGGACAAGTAGAGGAATGGCTGGGAAGAACGTTTGCAGAGGTGCAACACTACGCAAAGGTATTGTTGGTCATACAGGGTAACAGTAAAGTATTCAACCCACAGCTTATCTGGAAATTTTGCCTTCTCTATTTGATGTCGAACAGTCAACGTTACTAAAAATGCCGCCCTCCGTCATGTGTCGCCCGGGGCGACCGCCCCACCCACTGTCTATGTTGCGCTTCTGCGTATAGCGGTGTGTGTGTGTCCGTGTGTCGAGGAAGGTGAAAACAATGGCACGCTTCGACGTAGGCCGTTCTGTCGGAAAAGCAGTACATCACACCGTGTGCGTAGTTCGTCAGTCAGCAAAAGTTAAACCAGCGTGCTATTTGCAAAACCCTATTGACGAGGAATTTCTTACCTCGAAAGTACGTTAACCTTAAACATGCGGGTAGGCTATGGGCTGCACACTCGTGCAGTACGGCGAGTGTGACTGGCGTCAAACTGAAGGATGATCGAGTGTGTGGAAGTATCCTCATCTAACCGTTGGGGATAATGGATGGTCTAACAGCTTATGGTGTTGTCGACCTTCCGCTGCGGTTGAGAAATCATGCCGTTACGCAAAAGAACACCCTGCATCCGGAAGTATACCTCCAACGAATTCTGTGTCCTCCTTCATGACCTCCTTGGATGACACTAAAGTCATCCGCAGGTACGGCATGTACAAAATCCCCTGTATTCTGCACCTGCTACTATCCGAAACTTTCCTTGGTTTGGGCATGGATAGTGAGTGGGTTTGACCACGATACCGGAACATTAGTTACACCACCGAACAAAGGAATTTAAGGGATCGGAAAATGCGCTGCCATCGCGTGTTCAATGAAAGTTCAGCAAGTAATTATCAAATCAAGTCAAAATAGGCTTTATGCTCCCGAGAAGACAGATTTACAGCATTTTAGACTATCATCGCGAACTGAGAAACACATGAGATGAATGCATAATGATAAATAAATGCTTTGATGCAAAGTGTGAACGCGTATCACTCACGCAAACAGTTGTACATCATGCTGATATTTATTGGTCCGCAAGTACTCATATGGAAATGAGTAGCAGTTGGTTTATGCTCACTGGTGCATTGCAGTGGGTTAAGAGACACAAGGCTCGGTTCTAGGGCATCATCGATTCTTGGTTCTCATAAACAATCTAGCCTGATAATTAGTTTCCGATTTCCTATTCTTCGCTGATGATAACCATATATGGAGAGCAATCAAGGACCGGACGACTACGAAGGGCTCTCCAGCGCCATCTTAACATGATTGCGAACTGGTCAGTTCAGAATACCGTACTATTCAGTGCGGAAAAAATGTCGCGTTGTTCGACTACGCCATAGGCATGAGTATACGTATGAGATTGGGGCACACAGATTGCGGATAAGCTCCTAAGAATGTGACTTTGGTGCGTTTGTCCAGAGTGACCTGAACTGCTCAGCACAGTCTGAGTCAGCTGCGAAAAGAGCAACTAGTAAGTCGGTCTGCTGCAGAGCGCATTCGGGTGATTCGGCCAATCAATCAGTTTTCTCAAGCATGCACAACTCCTACGTGACCTAGAAGTGTCATAAATACCAAACCATGGCAACAATGAATGTCAAGGGACCAGGTAATTAATCATAGCAGCAAAGGCTGAAGTTACACGGAGTTTTCGGTGGGTGCTACCGAAGACTACGCGGTGATCTCATAGTAGTGTACCAAATATTATGTGATCCAATCACGTGTGCAGCCATTTGCTGAAACCTAACCACAACACTAATCTCCGAGCTAACTGAGTCAAACAGCCGTCTAGAATGTAGGAAGTACTTTTCTTTTTCGGTTTCCCAACCCCGGAACTCTCTCCAAAACTCAGTTGTCTCAACCCTAAGTTGAATATCTTCGAAAAAACACAATTTGATCTTGCTCTTAGCTCCTAACACTTCGTTACCAAAGCCGGGCTACTGTGGATTACATTAAGCGTGTCCTTCTACCGGATTCATGTGTCACATGGACCCAAGAAGGCGATACATGAGGGGACCACTTTATTGTTATTTTTTGCACTCAACATGGCGGCCCAGGTCGTTCTGAATGCTTACATCCAATTCCTAGTTTAAACTATGGTTAGATAACAATGCATTTAACTCGATATACACTTAAACAGGTTGTAAAAGGATTTTCGATGCTCTGCGTTCAACTCCGCCATCCGCCAACCTTCGAGTATGGACTACGAACGCAATTGCCCCCCCCCCCAATTATCTTCCCCAATACCACGGCAACCATCACCCCAATTATCTTTCCCATTATCCTCGCAATCATCGTCATGCACTCTCTCATTTCACGCATCCGGCCTTCATCCGGTCTGTGTTTAACCTATCGCATGGACTTCACCTGTCCTATATAACCAGTGCTCTGTATTCTGTATCGCATTGACGATCTGAACCCTTTCTTGTTGTTCTCGGACCGAATTGTATTTCTTTTGAAACTGCGTTGAGTGGAAGCGCTACTATTGAGGTTTGTAATATTATTGCTTCCTGATTGTTCGTTAATAGTGCCGTCATCTTGTCCAGTGTTCTTGTTCTTTGACTGGCTGGATACGCGTTGGCTCAAGGCCCTTCAAAGCGATTTGTCGCTTACACAGGTGACTCGCCTCCAGCCTACTGGACTTGTCAAGCACCTGCATTTTAACCCGTGAGAAAGCATTGTTCATAAACTGGTAGAGAGGCACTCCGTTTCTTTTAAATTGTGAGGTGAATATTCAAGCAGAGGGACAGGACAGATTTACGTGACGAAACAAGTGGCTAGATGGATGTAAACGAGCAGAGCCGATGACTGGACGTCTCCGCGTCTATGCGGACTGGTTAATATTTAGCTGGTTGAAAGAATCAAAGGGCGAATCTCAAGAATGCTGTAATGTTGTTATATATATATATATATATATATATATATATATATATATATATATCAAGACCAGAAATCATTTCAGGATTAAGAATTCTTTTCAGTAAACTCTCTTCAGATCCAAACGTTTACGTAACACTGCTTGTGTGGGGTAAGCGTCAAATCGGGCTGGGATTGCTTTCTAAGGTGTTTGAATGGTCCAGATCGATGACTAAATGCGGCTACAGATGGTAAGAAAACTGCAACGAAGGAAACTTACTTCACAAGCCTGAGCAGCCTAAAGTAAATAGGTAAGGTCACGAAGGGAATTAAGTAACCATGTCAGTCGGCCACGGTAGTAGTATCGGCCGTATGAATCGTTAAACAACGAATTAATTTTTACTAGTCCAGACAAGAGATCCGGCATAGTGTTACTAAATAGGGTGGATTATATCTGTAAAATGCAGCACATTCTCAGTGACGAAGGTAAATTCCAGAAGCTTACGGACGGAAAGAACAACACAGGGGAGTTAGAGAAACAGTTGACCGGCTGCCTCATGCGAATGATACAAGCCAAGCTTCTCACAAAGAGCGAATTTGAAAAGTTGAAGCCTTCAGGTGGACACCTACCGAGGTTCTATGACCTTCCTAAAGTTCACAAGGAAGGCGCCTCAATGCGTCCAATCTTGGACATAGTGGGTTCTCCCCAGCATTAGTTGGCACAATGGATGGTGAACAAATTGCAACCGTTACGGGATTTGGTTTGCACTTGCTGCGTGAAAGACTCCTTCGGATTCATTGAAAAGATATCTGGACTCAACTTTACTAACAGCCCGAACACTAACCTTCGCGGTAACAGTTTAAAGCTGAGCCAACAGTACAGTCGTCTAGACTGTCGGAAAACCTATTTCTCCCTCCGGGTCTGCGGGCCCTGGAACGCCCTTCCAAACTCAGTAGTTTGTGCCCCCACATTAGATACGTTTAAAAAACGATTGGACATCGCACTGAGCCCCCTGCGCTTTGTTATATGAACGAAAACGCTTGTATATATTTAGGCTGACCAGCCTCTTTGGATTTATACCCCAAATTCACGGTCGTAAATCTGTGCGAACCGGTGAGTACTCCATTTTTATTTGCTACCATCACCAACGATAACAATTTCTTAGCCAGTTTTGCGTCGTACCACTTTATCCCCCTAAAACTGTTATACTTCTACCTTTTATCTCACTGATACTCCTTACTTCAACCACTTATGTGGTTTGCCAATTTGTTAGTATTTCTATTGCCAACCTGCGGGACTCGTTAAGTGTATGCTTTTTTACCCGTCATATACCATTGTTCCATTGTTCCATTGAACAAAAGGATGATATCTTTTGATGCCCAGTCGTTGTTTACAAATATTCCACTGCTCGAAACGGTGGATTATGTGTGCGAGTTGACCCGCCAACTAATAATATACGCTACTTTTCAGGAGGATTTTCTAAAGGAGATACTATTTCGCTGCACGTTAAATGTTCACTTCACGTTCAATGGTGAGATGTACCGTCAGATTGATGGAGTGGTCGTGGGATCTCCTTTGGGGTCGTTGTTGGCTGACATCTTTATGGCGAAATTAGAGCATGGCCCACTCAGGACGCACATCTGTGGAACTGAAATGTACGTACGGTATGTCGACGACACCTTCGTGCTTTGCGAATCCAAAAAGCATGCAGAACAGTTGCTGAAGGCCTTTAATGACGCACATGAGAATCTACGCTTCACCTGTGAGCACGAAAACGGAAACCGTTTACCTTTCTTGGATGTAGAAGTCATCCGCAACTTGGCGGCTCATGTAGCAGAAAGGTACACAGAAAGCATACGTGGACTGGACAGTACACTAACTTTCACAGCGCAGTGCTTTACAGCATAAGAGGAGTTTAATCCGATCTCTTGCCTTCACGGCGCGCAGTATTTGCACTCCGGATACCGTTAACGAAGAGCTACAGAGACTCAGCGGGGCCCTTCGTGAAAATGGTTACCCCGATAAGCTTATCATGAATCATCTGAAAGAACGAAAGCGAAAGCCACCAAGGAGCACTGATGCCAAGAAAGAGCTGTTAATACATTTGCCATTTAAAGGCGATACTGCAGCTGATATCTTATCTGGACGGCTGAAAGACGCTGTTGAGAAAACTTATTTCGCAGCCTGCTTGAGAATTGTTTACGACAACAAGCCATTGCTTGCAAAACCCTTGAAAGATAGTCTGCCATCGTTGACCCGTTCAATGCTCGTTTATCAGTACTCGTGCTCCTGTGGTGCACGATACATGGGTCGCACAACGAGACGTCTATCCCAGAGAATTCGCGAGCAAATCCCGGCGTTGTTTTACAAAGGCGAAATGAGGTCCTCAGACAGCTCAATCATGTCGCACCTCCTCGAAAGTGGCCATACTGCATCTGAGAATGACTTTAAACTCATCTACTCACTACCTGAACGCTTCTCGCAAGGCTTCCGAAAACAAATCTTGTCTATTGCCGAGGCTATTTACATCCACCATCTGAAGCCGGAATTATGTGCACATAAACGATTTCTACGGCCGATACTACTACCGTTGCCGACTGACATGGTTACTTAATTCCCTTCGTGACCTTACCTATTTACTTTAGGCTGCTCAGGCTTGTGAATTAAGTTTCCTTTGGTGCACTTTTCTTGCCATCTGTAGCCGCATTTAGTCATCGATCTGGACCGTTCAAACACCTTAGAAATCAATCCCAGCCCGATTTGACGCTTACCCCACACAATCAGTGTTACGTAAACGTTTGGGTCTGAAGAGAGTTTACCGAAAAGAATTCTTAACCCTGAACTGATTTCTGGTCTTGATTCATCTGAATGCAATGTGAATATTTGCTTTGCTGAAAATCAGCATTGCCCGTGATTAGTTGAATATATATATATATATATATATATATATATATATATATATATATATATATATATCGAGGCTCTCTACAGACCAGTTATGCTGGCACTTTTGCTGAAATCGCTTTAGCGAATAAAGCGTTTGTCCTTAGCACTGGAATACTCAGTTTCATCCTGTTGCATTAGACTTTGTAAGCTACCGCATTCCGTTTTTCTTAGCAGAGCGCATCCAATACTTCATTTCAATTTAAGTTTAACCCACACTTATCAGATGATAGATGTTATGTGTTCCGGGCTATTCCTGTGTCCGCTTTATTTTGCCAGTTATATCTATTAGACCGAAAAAACATCCGTTATCAACCGATAATACAAGTATCTGTTCGTCTTTACCGAAGCTCCTCAACGCTGTTTATTCCACCTCGTTGAGTACGCTGATCTTGACCTAATGTCTCGGTATGATGTTTTATGATCTGGTTATTGGTGGATGAATATAAGGGAATTCACTGTAAAACCTACGCAGACTGGCGCCTGTCGTCTTCCTGGACAAAGACATCGAGTGTGGCTACGTCAGTGAATAAAGATTCTGCACAATACGGTATTATCACAAAGTGGTGCTCCAAGATTTGTTCCCTTATCGATGATCCCTAGAGATCCTTTCTGAAGATGGTATTTCTCACTGATTCCACCGAAATGATTAGTACTATTCTCTTGTGATGTGGGTCAGGGTAAACTGCTTCCAATGAACTTCAGTGAGTGGATTTTGGTTCATAAACTGAATCGCACTGAGCATAATTTGAAAGTCAGTCGAACGCCCTCTTAGCATTCACTAGGGTGATCCTTGCATCTGCTTCATTCGTCTGCTTGTGCCGCGAACTGCTGTCCAGCTTCTTCTGGAGTTATGATTTTGCCTGAAGTGACGTTTGCGCGATTTGTCGGCTATTGATTTGTGGTTATCTGAGGTTAGAAGTTCAAACGAATTGATGCTGATGCTGGCCCGAAATTCTTCAGAGTCTGTACTTTCTGTTGCATGTATCCAGGCATAGCATTCTTCGTTCACGATGCTCAGTGATTTGCCAAGACAGAGTGTCGATGAATGGCGCACGGCGATACATACTCGGTGACAAGGTTTCTTTTCCAAAGTACTCTGGTGATGTAGACTTGTTCGTGTGTGGAAGACTGTCTAGTAGTAAATGTCGCCAATGGGTGAGTTGACTTGAGCGCTCCGCGATCGTGGCGGTTAGTAAGTGCTGCTAATTCCGAGCTACTCTTGTAAGTAGCGAGGGAAAAAGCCACACTGGGACACTTATGCCTGTGGGCCACCAGCCAAGTCTGACTGAACAAATCTAAGAAGTTGGCGTTGGTATTTTAACGAGAATTTAGCTTGCGATCCATACTGCTACGGGACTAGTGAAGTTATGGTTGCCCTAGTGAACCCCTCTTTGGCCAATCAGGGTGGATTGATCTTGATTACATCCATGCAAACAAGCTCACCTGACGCCCCTGGGCTGAGAGTTTCATCTGCGGATTCTTTGTTACCAGAATAGGCAATATAATCGCGCAGAGTCTGATGATGAAAGGCCTGCAAAAAATCACCCAACCTGGAGGATAGCCCAAAATGCGCACCCACACACAACAATGTTACCAGCTTGTCTACATGAGTTAAACCCCTTTGAGAGAAATCAGTTGCGGTCCTCTAAAGCATGATGTTTAGGATCGATGTAATGGGGACTGATCCCATGCTGTTCCTCCATCGACAGGCTCATCTAAGCTTAACAAACGAGAGTGTGAGTAAGGGTTCGCAGTGGTCTTGGAGGGGGTGTATATGTCCGGAATTTGTAGTCGTGAAGCTCGGACTGGAGATAGAGACGTGAAAAATAAGTAAGAGTTGTTGTAAATAAGGCTTACTAACCAGAATAACTGCTTGCATTGGTCGCATTGAATCGGAAGAAAATCTGGAAATTAGGAGAAAAAGTGGGAGAGGGCCTTAATGTTGAAATTACGTACGAGTTAAAATCACAGCAAAGTTGGAAACACTCAAGAGCGCACAGACGATGAAACATATATCACACAGATAATCTGGTGGACAATAAACGGAGAACGCACCGATGTGACCGATCAGTGAACTAAGACAGCGGACTCGGCCGGTGGACATCAGCAACACTCGTAGTAGCGATAACAGCAAAAACAATATTCGCATGTTCTGATGCTTCGCCGTCTTACAAGTATAAATCAAGGGGACCAAAGATAGGGATGAAGTGAATCTAATATGCACCCCAAACACACAAAACAAACACATAGCATAGGGCACTCACACTCCGTGAATAGTATAAACCCACACAAACTGCTGAATAACCTATAAGTATAGGAAGGGGCTGGAGGCACATTTGTACGACGGCGCACTGTCCCTCAGCATAGGCAAGAATTACACCCAGCTAAGGTTAGTGACACCTGGTTCCAGGAGCCGCAGTAGGTGGTGGCTAATAATCCCCTAGATGATGATCGCATCTAACTACGCCTTAGTTGCTTAAGTTGCTGAGAAGTACGACAAGGTCCCAAGCTAGAATTGTGAAAAATTCGAGGCAGATTAGCGTGGCTGACATGTCTCAGTTGTTTTTCAAACGTTTGATTGCTGTCTGGTTGAAAAAGACAGCAATGAATCTCCTAAAATGCCTGAAATCACTACTCAGAGAACGACCAAACTAATCCGTTAAGGTTTTGTAGGATGAAGACACTCCAATTTGGTACTTTCTTCCCACCCCAGTGGCTATGCTCATGCTCATCCAGTCAGCTAAGTTCTTTTGGAAGTAAAAAGGGTCTATCCATACTGCAGACGGTCTTTCAAGATCCAAATATAGTTGCCGCCGCAGTCCGTGGTCTTTTTCATACGAGACAGCGATTTAAGAAGCCAAGGGTTGGATGAACAGCGAATCGTCATGACTGACTGCCAGCCACGATGTAGTGCGGCTCATTTTCGATTCCTCCAACTAACTTCTTCAAAGAACCGCCCTACTGGTCACCTGAAGGAAGTCATTACCATGGTTGTTCGCACGTTTTGCGGCCGGTGGCACGGGGCACAGCAGTTCAAACGCGTTTAAAGTGCAAAACTTGGATGGCGATTCCAATCTCCTGATACTGGCGCGTACGGCGACAGTCATCGTCGGTTATAGACAATAATGAATGTTAACGAGGAAGAGGCTCTTTTTGCATAAGTACCATTTTCACTTATTGTGACACCATGTTCTGTGAAAGGCAAGCGGTTCGGTGCGCACGACTTTGCACGTGCATTCAATGTGGCTTACATTCGAACTGAATAATCCCATTTAGTGAACAAAGACGTCGAATGCATATCGGAAATAACCAGCTATCACGCCGTGACCACTCGGACATATGGTCTCTACAACCCCAGGATTCGTATGTGAGCACAGGAGCGCATCTAGTTAGCAGTGCATTGCGTTATCATAGATTAACATGGGTTTGAATTATTCCACAAACAAAACGTTCCCTATTCAACGTGCCAGACGATCATATTGCTAGAAGTAATTGTTAGGACATAGTAATAACATTGAGGACCAAAGACTCACCAAGTCGCTTGCAGTTGCGATAGGCACAGTTGGCTCCAATGTTAAACTCTGCCATATGGCTTCTGAATGCATGAAAGAAAAGGAAAGACAAAAATATCGGCAGGCACTGAAATGGCACACACCAACTCGTGTGAACCTAAGTGAATTTTTCGCAAACAAGTTGATAGCAGGAGTAATGAGTCCCCCGGTAGTAAATTTCACGCGGTGCATTGTGTTTCGTCGATGGTACGTAACCCAGTAACCGTTCCTATCTACCCTAAGCTTGAGTGTATTGGTACGAGTGCAACAAACGTCACCATTTCTCACATCCTTGCCTCATGCACTCAAATGCTTGCGTCGGTCACGCAGGAAGCTGATTCGCGTGCGTCATGTGACACGTTGCACGTGTGCACACGTATGAGCCATGCCCATGGACTGTGTTCGCGACGTGAGATCACGTGATCTGCTTGCCACCGGAAAACAAACCGGCTGTCCTGGATCTCGTATCCACTACCGAAGAGCTCATGATCGAAACGGTCCTTTAGGCCGTAGCGACCATGCAACGCTTATGTTCAATTACCTCTGTTATACAGTGTTCCTCAGAAAACACCGAGGAGTGTCAGCTCATTACGGATTACGGCGCTCTAATCACTTATAAATGCTACAAACTGGGCATTTCCAGCAGAATGATCCCCATTGCCACCTGGTCTGATTTTGCTCACCAATTCAACACGTTAATAAGTAATGCTTCTGGGAAAACGCCTTCGCGAGCGAAGACAGTAAAATCATTCATACGAAGCAGGACACGCAAGTGTATCGTCACGAGAAATTTACTGGCGAAGATACAAGGAGTCACCTAGCGCCGAAACATGGGAGCCTACACTATCCAAAGGAATCACTACGTAGACCTGGTACGCGAAGATAAAATACAGCACCAACAGAATCTAGCTGAAAAATTCCTTTCCAACCCCAAGCTCCTGTACAGACACATTAACAAGCTCCGCAAAGTGCAGAGGAATTCCTGCCTTACACACGTTATGTGGACTCGCATAAACCGCAACCGAGGCGGTCAACGCCCTATGTCAACAATTCGCCCCGGACTTCCGGAGCACGACATCGCCGCATACACAGTTCCCAATCGTTGTACCACCACCAGGACTTAGCCACATCACGTTTACGACTGCGGATGTTATGAAAAGGCTAATTGCCCTGCGCGAGCATACCTCTCCCGGCGTTGATACCATTCGTCCAAAGGCGTTGAAATTGGCTGCGGTAAACTTGGCGGACCCACTGTGCAAGTCCTTCCAACGATGCCTCGATGAGATGCGCGTGCCAACAATGTGGAAGCAAGGCATCGTCACTCCCATCCATAAGGGGGGAAGTTGTACAGATCCGGCCAACTATCGCCCGATAACACTACTCCAAAATCATGAAAGCGATTGTTACCGAAGCGCTCATGAATTACTTGGAAGAACGCAAAACCATACCACAAGAACAACATGGATTTCGCAAGAACCGATCTTGTACTTCATTGCTACTTGCTAGATCCAGTTGGACTGAGACAGTCCACAGCGGCTTAGGCGTTGATGCAGTATATCTGGACTTTACAAAGGTCTTTGACCGTCTGAACCAGCGTATCCTCCTTCACAAGCTTCAGTGCTGTGGAATTGGTGACCCAATCCTCGGTCGGATAGGTAACTTCTGGCTTCAACGAACTCTGAATGTAAGAGGTCGCGGCGTCATCTCTGACCCAATCGACGTTAAGTGCGGAGTGCCCCAGGGCTCAGTACTTGGTCCACGATTATTCCTGATTTACATAAACGATCTCGCGACAGTAATCACCACCAACTCCGTACTCTTCGCTGATGATCTCAAGATATGGCGAGCCATTAGAACAACCAACGTTAATGCAGCACTTCAGGATGATCTGGACAGGGTCTACGAATGGTCGACTCAGAACCTGCTCCAGTTCAACGCTACAAAGTGCAAGATGTTGAGCATACGCCAGGAAGCCACTTGCGAATACAGACTGAGGGATCAAATATTTCAACGCACTACAACCGAATGCGATCTATCAGTGGTAGTGCAAGATGATCTGGGCTGTTCCCGTCAGGCCGAGAAAGACTCCAAAAAAGCTAACCAACACCTTGGGCTTTTGCGGAGAGCATTCGGGCGTTTTGATCCTTCCATCTTTTCTCGGATGCTTAACGCCTACTTTCGGCCTCATTCTGAATACCCCATCCACGCCTAGCAGCCATGGCAAAAGCAAGACCTTACCGCTCTTGAACTGTCACAACGAAGGGCGACCAAGAACGTCAAGGGCCTGTTTCATCTCCCTTACCGGTTAAGGCTGAAAACCATCGGGTCTACAGTGGACAATATCGACGCCTGTGTCGATTGGATAATGACTTATATGATCCTGAGGAATCCAAACCATTGTTGTCGTCACCTACTAAAGCTGAATAGCAACACCACACTCAGAGGACACCAGCTAAAGCTGGACACATGATACAGCCGGTTGGAATGCCGCCGGAATTTCTTTTCCCTTCGTGTGTGTCAACGCTGGAACGCACTTTCACATACGTTGTTGTTGCTAATGGTATTCAAAAGACGTCAGGATGATTCGCTTATCCACTTACATTACGCTATATAATCAGAGATGTCCACGTCAACCAAACGTGAACAAACGGTGCTCATTCTCAGCTTTTGTGCTTTACTACTTACTCACTGCTGCTGTAGAATATCGTCCGAATATAATACAACTGCATTCATCAATTACATCAGTCCAAGGAAGCGGCGCACGAGTAAGCGTTGTCGTTTCTTTTATTCTTAAGACATACCTTCCCTATGTTACTTCCCCATATCACTAAAGTAACAATTAACTACGCATTCTAATATGTTTATATGAAGAAGGACAACTGCATCGCTAGACGCTTAAATTGACGATTTGCACATATGTTCGCTTTCACTTCAATCATCCTACAGGACTTGTAAAGCAATCGCTTTTTTACCTGTAATATATCATTGTTCATCGACTGCACTGGTACGGTGACTGACGTAGTGGTAAAGTTAACTCCATAGGCACGCCAAGTTTTATGGAACCGTGCAATTGGTGCAACAGCTTGCTCTGCTCTGAATGTCACAAAAAGGCACTCGCACGCGGCACTCGGCGGAGGTGAAGAATATAATAGTTAAGGCAAATGAAGAGGGACACGACTGGAAGCATGTTGCACACATATGGAGCGGAAACTTGATTACCTGCTGCACGAGCCTTAGATGTAAGGTTCCGCAACAGCGTGATCAGCCTTCATGGCAATGCGGTTACATTCCGCATTGTTTAATGACATACCACTTATTGGCACACATTCAGATTTCTCACCAATAGCATCACTACAGCTGCCGTCCCGACTCTCTTGAACTATAAGGATACCCTATGGTTGTCTCGCAACGCCACACTGGAAGCATGCGTAAATTGCGTGCCCCAACATTTAGTATGAATGTCGAACCTATGAACCAGCGATAAGTAAAAATGAGGACATCATTACAAATCATATATATTTATGTCAGCGAAAAAATGATTTACAAAGTCATGTTATGCATAGCACGAGCGTAATTCCTTCTTACATGATCGATCATTTGTTAGCAGTTCTGGGGCGTCACGCAGGTTTGTGCATCGGATACACTTCGCTTCAAGAAACGCATTCTCTACTAGCTATTGTATAGTACACCCACTGGATCTTCCTGAAGCATCTCGGAATACTTCCCCTCCCTCATGACTTGCTACACCTGCGCTTTTACGATGCTCCAGATTCCCTCAATGAGATTCGGTGTTAGAGAACATGACGGCAGACACAGGAGCCTGCCCGAACGGTACGGTTTCTCCTGGAATACGTGTTTCAAATTCGTGTGGCATGGTGAGTTATCACAGACAATGAGGCAGTTTTTGAGAAAATTCGAGCCACTGGCAACCAGCAGTCGATGCAACCACGCTGGGCACCTTCCCTTAGTAAAGCTTCCTCACATGATGGTATAGTCTATTAATCCAGTGCTCGTCAAGGATCCAAGCAGATGCAAGTTTTGGCCTCGACTGTTGGGCACTGCACATCGCGCAGGAGTTCCATGCGGTGAACACTTCATGGTGCGGGCACAAAAGAGATTGAAAATGGTTTCATCTATCCACACGGCTTGTCCCCTTTCAGTCTCAGATTGTAACTGTGCCAAAACGTAGGCTTTTCTCCACATTTTGTTCTCATGTGTGTTGGCTGATTCCTCAACTGCTTGCAACTTCTTCATGGTAATTGGCCGTTCATCCAAGTATTGTGCAACCGTGCTCACGCTTACCTCAATGTTTAATTCTGCCTTCATCCGCAGACGTAGGGTTTGAAGTGACCGTGGGTTTTTTGACACCCATTCTACCATGCAATCAATCTGACTGTCTGTCAGAGATCCTCGGCGTCCCACAACACGCTCTTCTGTTTCCGGTTGATTCCAATCACGTTCTCCAACTGCGGCAAGTAATCAAGTTTACATTCAGTGTGTGCAACATGCTTCCAGTCGTGTCCCTGTTCATTTGTCTTAACTATTATATTCTTTACCTCCGCCGAGTGCCGCGTGCGAGTGCCTTTTTGTGACATTCAGAGCAGAGCAAGCTGTTGCACAAATTGCACGGTTCCACTCACCTATGGTTACCTTCACCACCACGTCAGTCACTGTATCAGGGCAGTCGGTGGCACGCAGATCACATGATCTCACGTCGCGAACGCAGTCCATGGGTATGGCTCAAACATGCGCACATGCGCACATGTGCAACGTGTCACATGATGCACGCGATGCAGCTTCCTGCGTGACCGACGCAGGCATTTGAGTATAGGATGCAAGTTGAGAAAAGGTGTAGACGACAGTCAACGACACCTACTCCAGCACCCACGAGACCGGATCACTGGTCCTGGCTCCAACAGCAGCCATCACATACCTGCGTATAGACGCAATCGATCCAAGAAAAACGATGGAGATGAAGTTCAGTAGATCAAGCTCAGCACCGGTGCGTTTGATCAGGGACTCAACACATAAGATCAAGGAATTTGATGCTTCATATGTCCACATAATTGGCTCCACATTCAAGAACAATAGATAAGTGAGACAATGATAGCCGAAGGATCTAATCCACATCTGGGTACGAGTAATTGCACGAGGTATCCAGTAGTTGGTCCGGAAAGATGCAACCCTAGAAACAAAGGTCTCGATTTGAACTTGAAAGGAAATTGACCTAATTGCTTTTTACAGTCAGTGATGTAATAGGATATGTAGAAAGTGTAGCGCCATACCCCCACACGAATTTTCGCTCCTCAATCTACGAATGTAACTTGCTTATCGGGAAATATGCCGGTTAACTCAGTTAACTTGATGAGTACGGTGGAAGGAGCATAGATACCGTTACCATGGATAGCTAGTAGAGCGGTTTTGCAGTGTACGCAAGATACCGTGCCGTGTGCACAATATCCCAGACAGGAGCGAGAAATTAGAATATCTCAGGGAGAACACTAATGAATCGCTCGCCATTGTAATGAGGACAGAAGATGCGTATGAGAAACTAGGTTTGCGTTCCAGCTTTGTGTTTTAGTTACAAACGCTGCGTTATCGAAGTAGGTAACATCAGGCAAGTGACTCACCGGTCCTCCCTATTTGTTTTTTACTTCCAGTTAGAGGTCACGAGTTGACTTACATTTTTACCACTGCTCCCTTTTGTTGGATAGGTTGGTGGTGGAGGTAGAGTCATTAATTGATTTCTCTGTACCGTTGACTCGAGGCAGATTGCTGGCTGTGTCCGAGGTGTCCAGCAGGTAGCTTCCGATCCAAAGTATCAGAACTCAATGAGTCCATGCTTTATTGTCTTTTCTATTACCGTCAATTTACCCAGATCGAACTGATTTTTCTCAGGATCCATACACAGGGACACTAGTTATTTCTGATCAGGTTGGCCGACAATCAGACTGTGTTCGTAAAGACTCACGTCAAAGTTCCTTCCCATCTACCCTACACATTAATTGCAGAAGTTTTGCGAAAGAATTCGTACAACACATCCAGTGCTTTCATTTGATCAGCTTGTCCTTGACCACGCAACTCATTTTCTGAAGTGTTTTCCTTGGTTTGCGGACTATGTTTGTTCCGAAGAACAGTAAAAGTTTCATGGCCATTTCAGGACTTCCAATGAAGTTGTGAATGAGATAGCGTGGTTGCTTCGGTTTCAGGCAACATGGAATAAAAAATATAAAGAAAATAAGCCTACTTAAGCATACTGAATAGGTGAGTTACGTTTGCTCACTTCAGTTGCGATTTGCTTTTATATCTGTGGGATCGTCCGAAAAGGATTCTCAAGCACCTACGCTGCTCGAGTGCATTGGTGCAGGTTTTGATTCGTGTTCATCGGTTTTGGATGGGCGCTATTTCCAGTCACGCGACTGGTGTGACCTTGAACCAACATGCGTGTTAATCGCCCATCTAAAAACACGTCGTTTTGTCGCTGTTTCACACACAAGCGTGTGTTCATCCTCACTCTACCTAAATTCATCAGCGCTATCTAGTACACACCATCATTCGAGTCCAGTTTGTGTGGATTGCCTTGTATCTTCACATTGAGATTTACGCATCATTCCCGCAAAAACACAAGCAAGGAAGTTTCCGAATCAGGAATCGCACAGCAATATTTGTGGTCTCAAAAGAAAGCTAACTCTATGTTTTATCCGGCGAGTCAGCAACTACAGCTGTAGACCGTTCCTCAAAGTAGTAATCGTATACTTTGTGTCCGTATCGCTCAGTCGCTCCGTTTGCCGCGTGAACGATCTAGCCGCTTAAACCTGCCCCGGCCAGACAAACAAAACATGGCAACCTTGAACATGCGAACAATTCAGCGCACATGCGACCGGCAAGAAACCATAAGCGCTCGGGCCTCTAGGGGAATACCATCGATCGACGTAACAGACCATGGCGACCAATCAAAAGCCCATGTTACCGCATCCAGATCGACAGTAGTTTGTGGCCGTCCTTCATACCATAAAATGTACGACTTGGAACCCAGTGTAGTAATTGCCAAGGCAAGATCCATCGTAAATGTCCCAAGCTCACAGTGAACCAGTTAAATCTACACGATAGTAAACCAGATTCATTGTGATTCTGTTCAATATGCATAGTCATTCCACTGGTAATGATTGTACATGAACTATGGCAGAAGTACGAAAGACTAGTAGCAATGATTGAACAAATGAGGGGCACCAAAAGCGATTCATTTGTAGTAAGCGTGACAGAAAAAATCCATCATTTCCATCTGACCCCGCATTAAAACTGAAGACGAAGGCTGGGCAGTGCGCAAAAAAGGCACCAGCTGTGGCTTTAAACGTCAATATCATGAGCTGCGCAAATAGGCCAGAATCAATCACCGTCAGTCCGATTGTATTGAGCATGGTTAAGTCGTCGTCCAGCCTCCAAACGGTCCCGAAAATTCAGAAGGACCGACAAAAGTAGTGCTTGGAAATTTGTCGCTGCCCAAGGTAACCGCAAAACTAGAACTTCGGCCACCCCACTGGACCCATAGTAAATGAAGAGAATGAACTGTATACACACAACATCGGCTGTAAACAACCCAGCTGATCGTTTGCTCTCAACCCGAGTGGCACGTAGCATACTAGCAGTAATCTGCACCAACCTTCCATAATCGACGTCAAATTCCTTAAAAGCAAAACAACGATGACGTAAACCAGTGGAACTACATATGTGACATTATAGGTATTGCAGCCAAGCCCGTCAATTTATAAGCGTTACTCGTCATCCAAACTCAGAACTACGGTGAACCAAGACTTCGCCGATTTGGGTTGACTTCCGCCAATGAAACAGAAGCAGTATTGTTACCGATAGCACGCCTCAGGAATGGGTCATTTTCCATCCGCCTATTCCTGGATATTCAGTGCAGCGACTGCAGACAGGCGAAGCACTACTTGAACTAAAACCAAAAGGAATCCGTAGCCGTGGCCATCCATGTACAAGACGTTCCAGAGGCTGGGACTGTTAGGTAGGTTTGCCATCTCAAACCTTTCTGGAACTGCACTTTCCGTTTCACCTACATGACGAAGCCTAATCACACGCCACGTGTCATACATCACGGGATATACACGCATAGCAAAACAGCGTTTCGACCTTGTCCGTTACCACGCCAGTGTCCAGGCACGTGACAGTTGGGAATGTACTTTAGCCAGCATTCACCAGATACAGGTCACACCAGGGCGCAACACACAACCGGAACTTCCGGACAACGGACATGCACGCCTCGTTTACGTGCTCAAGCCTCGAAGTGGCCATCATCGTATCGCAATGCAATATGTATTGAACGTAAGCCGCTCATTTATGTATCAGTATTGCCTGTACATTATTATCCTTTATATTAGTTCTTAGCCTTCGGATTTTGTAACTCGTTACCACTGAAGCGGCACTAATACTTGGCGGCGCCGGGGTTGGCACACATTGTACTACCTTGACATTTAACTGTTTATTTTGCGCCTGGAACACTATGGCTGTTCCATCACACCAGGCTGATTTCGCACACTCCTCACTACCAAACCTTGGCCTAGTTTCTGTAAACCTTCCGCCTTTTTGGCATTGACTCACGTATATGGTTTACAGGTGCATGCGCAATTTGTCCTTCCTCATTTCACACACGAACAAACCATGTTTTAACACGTGCTAGCCGTATTGCCACCAGATTGTTGCTGACTTACGGGATATTTTCTCGTCACCGGACGACACTAAGCCTTATTCGCAGCCTAAAGAAGCAGTCATTCAACGAACCGCCGTTTCTGAACACAAACCTCTTGAACGATTGATTAGCAGCAAAGCACTTGACGAACGCACACTTTCCCTGTTTCTAGGACCTCTTCACAGTGTATTAGGCGATCGCAAACTGGATGACGCGTTATTTAAGCAGCTATTTCTGAAGCGTCTACCTACGCAGGTACAGGTTATCCTAGCCAGCAACGCTGACAGTGTTCCCCTAACACAACTCATTAGTAACGCTGACAATAGTTTAGAAATCTAGCCGTTGAAACGCACAGTCTACCAAACTCTATTAACGATCATCTAGATGATTTGGATAAACAGATAGCTGAACTTCGGTTCAATCGACCAACAGGACGCCGTCCTTCTAGAGTTCGTTCATGTACTAGAACAAGAAGCCCTTCTTCATCGCGTACTTCATTCACTTGTTGGTATCATAGCCGTTTCGGACATCCAGCACTCAACCCAACTTCTCCCGTCAAATGCAGCTGCCAGAGATCGCGCTGTCGGGAAACGAAAACGCCAGACGATAGAGGCAAGCACCGTACTTGGCCAACCGCAATCCAACCCTCGCCAACTCATTGTCCAAGGTCAGACCACCAGTTTCCGTTTGCTTGTCGACACTGATGCTGAAATCAGTGTAATCCAACCAGCTGGCTCTTCCATTAACCGCACTCCAACCTCGATATGTTTAACAGCAGCTAATGGACCAGTATTAAAACTTACGGTCAAGCAACTTTGCTACAAAGCATTGGTC